AAAAAAAAAAAAAAAAGTAAAAACAAATTATTTGCAATAAATTCAAACTTTCTATAATGTATCATGCTTTACCTGCCAATAGTTAACTTCTCAGCAGCCCATAAATCCTTAACTACTTCATTTTCTCTGCTACAAGCCTCTCAACAAGACCCAGGGAAAGAACAGAGCCGCTAAGAAAACTTCATGTACTGCATCTTTGGATGTCACTATTAGGAACTGCAATTTTCTCCACACTCTCCAAAAATAAGCAGCAGTAAGATTAAGAAAACAAACATCAATCACAATAATCAGCAGCACCAAAGACAGCTATTAATACTCCATTCACTGAAACCAGAACCAACATTCAAGAGCAGCCGCAGGGAAAGATGATGAATGTGGTTGAAAATGTGCACCTATGAAAACTGAAGAGAAACCTATTGGCATTGTTTTGGGAAGAGCAAGAAAGAGTGACCAGAGAGTGATGGAGGAAGTGAGATTGATGGACCCATCACATAAACATGTGTGGCTAGATACTAATGAAATCCTCCTTTGTATAATGAATGTGAGCTAAAAAATACAAAGCAAACAGCAAACAAACAAACAAAAAGCAGCACCAGAGGAGCCTCCACTTCCTGGATGAAGAGACTAAGGTCTGGGGAATTTAATAAAGTGAAGCAGAGCCTGAGACTGTTTTCGGTACTCTCCAGATCCAATTTCATTCTCTTTCCACTAGACCACCACAAGGCCAAAACAAAGATGAAAAAAAAAATGCTTTTAGAAAACCCTCTGTTGTCATTTGTAAGAATTAGAATGATCAGCAAACTATAGATTCAATTCTATCTACCTCAGCAGAACTGACAGCTTTATTAAAGGAGTAGAAATCTAGTCAAAACCATTATTTTGGGCAAATGAGAGGAATAAATAAAAACCAAGAGTGGGTGATACTTATACTTACCACACACAAAGCCATCTGGGCTGATGGCGAAAATACTTCTTCCTTTTAGCAGCTGAGGATGGGCACAAATAGCACTGACAAAGCTCTGAAAGTTATTCTCTGCCACCCACTGGGGCAGCCATTTCAGCTGGCAATCACACAAAAGGCTTGATGTATTTAAATGCCTGCGGAGAGTAATTACATTCAATTTGTTTTGTATGAAATGCAGATTTCTACAAGTAAACTAAACTTAAGTAACTATTAACAAAGCAAAGAGTGTGGTAAACAAATACACACCCATGCAACATACTATACGACATCTTAAAATGCAAAGAAACACCTTGCTGGATTTGCTTTCTGCCATTTTTGCTCTTATTGTCCTACATGAAGGCCAAAGTAAGACATCAAAATTCCTTACTACTGAGGCTGGGAAGGTGGCTCATGCCTGAGGCTCTGGGTTCAATTCCTTGGCACCACATAAGCAAAAACAAAAAAGCCGGAAGTGGCGCTGTGGCTCAAGTGGTAGAGTGCTAGTCTTGAGCTGAAGAGCTGAGGGACAGCGCCCAGGCCAGAGTTCAGGCCCCATGACCATATCAAAAACAAAACAAAACTACAAAATTCCTTACTACTAAAATATCACTACTATATTTATTTAGGCATCAGACTATATTTGGTCCCATAGATTGAAGTGGCAAATTCAAACAGAAAAAAAAAAAAAAAGAAAGCTCCTATTGGGTAACAAAATGAACAAATAACCAATGCCTTTGGTTTTCTGGTAGAAAAAACTAATGTGAAGAATATGCTAGACACTTTTTAGAGACATATAATTTGGGATGAAACCCTATGACAGTTTTCTCGTGGATGCTTCATTTAAAACTCAAGGGAAGAAAAGGAAAGCTTACAGTTGTTGAAGTTTCTTCATTTGGGAAAATGCGTTGCCTTGTAAAGACATGATTGCGTTGTCACTCAGGTCTCTGAAAAACAGCCAAACACACCACACAGGAAGGTAAACAACGGTCTTCTTGGGTCTTGGGACAAAGTTTGGGCCACACTACCTATCCCTACCCATACACTAAGCAAGTAGTCTGTGTGTTCAAATGCATGAATATAGGAGTTCCTGAGTAATCTCTCAGAAGAGTGGAAGAATTGGAGAGTCTTGTTATCAAAAACTCATCTGTTACAGAGATGCCAGGTCACTTCTGGTCACCATATTATTTCATTCCTAATGGCCCAATTTGTTCAACCCCATTGCTTTATTGTCTTTCTCGTACTAATTAGTTAATTATTAGTTAACTTTTCATCACAATTATAAATTTGAAAAAACGTTTTTAAAACCATTTTATTAGCATATAGTAGTTGTGGTATTTCCATATATGGTCAAAGTCACTCCCACTCTCCCTCCCCCCACCATCTTAAAGCAATTTCAAAGCTGGCACTGGTGGCTAATGCTTGTAATTATAGCTAGTCAGGAGGCTGTGATCTGGAGGATCAAAGTCCAAAGCCAACTTGGGCAGAAATGTCAGCAAGATTTTACCTCCAAAATAGCCTCAAAAGGCCAAGTTGGAGGCATTGCTCAGGTGGTAGAGCACCAGCAGAACAAGCAAGCTGAGTGAGAGGCCCTGAGTTCAAGCCCCAGTCTTACCAAATTTCAACAGGTTTCACTGTTCTATTTTCTTTTCTTTTTTGTCGGTCATGGGGCTTGAACTCTGGGCCTGGACACTGTCCCTTAGCTCTTCAGCTCAAGGCTAGCGCTCTACCACTTGAGCCACAGCGCCACTTCCTGTTTTCTGGTTTATTGGAGATAAGAGACTCATGGACTATCCTGGCTGGGCTGGCTTTGAACTGCAATCCTCAGATCTCAAACTCCTGAGTAGTTGGGGTTACAGGCGTGAGCCACCAGCACCCAGCTCACTGTTCTATTTTCGTATGTGTGTGTGAAGTACTTTCACCAGTTCATCCTGGCTTTACCTCAATTACAGACTACTTTCTATAATACACACACAAACTCCCTTAAAGTGATTTATGTACATCTATTATTTATTGTATTTATTCTTAGAGTGACTCAAAAGAAGATGGTACTACCAAGTTGTTTAGCTTGAAAGGGGAAGGTAAGAACCCATCCAATTATTTTTAACTCTAGAATTCTAGAAATCTGTGCTTTTAAACATCTGCCGAATCCTACCATACACAACTCACTAATACAAAGGTAGTAGGTGCTCAGACAAGATGTCCTTGTTAAAACAAATAAACATTCCAGGTAGGCCATTTATAAAATGACACACTACTTGAGACTGATTTTATTTTTTCACTGGCAATTATAAACAGTTTGGTTGAAAGTACTAGTCACAATGGTTAGCAATGGTTCACACTGCTGTTCTGCAGAGGTCACAGAAGCACAAGGAAACTGGAAAAAGGCAGGGAGAAACAGAAGGTAAAGAGTGAAGACAGCAGACTTGGAAGAGTCAAGAAGGGTAAAAGAAAATAGAAGTAGGGGCTGGGAAGGTGGCTCAGTGGTAGAGGGCTTGCCTTGCATGCCTGAGGCCCTGGGTTCAATTCCTCAGCACCACATAAGCAAAAACAAAAAAGCCGGAAGTGGCGCTGTGGCTCAAGTGGTAGAGTGCTAGCCTTGAGCTGAAGAGCTGAGGGACAGCACCCAGGCCCAGAATTCAGGCCCCACAACCAGACCCCCCCCAAAAAAAAGAAAGAAAGAAAGAAAAGAAAAGAAAATAGAAGTAGAGGTTAATACTCCACTGCTCCACAAATTCCACTTTTCCAGAAACAGAATGGGCTACTCGTGAACAAGCCCATTTTGGCTAGTTTTCCTTTGAAACCATAATCTGTTTTCAGGAAGTAGAACTATACTGACCCACCCTTCCAGAGCAGCTCTGAGAATCCAGCTACCAGTTTTCCTACTGCACTGTCAGGATGGCTAGTGAGCCATCTCTCTCTCCAACTAACTGGTGGAATCAGAAGATAACACACAGTGGTTTGTGGTAGCAAAGGAATCTTCCCTTTCTGTCCCCAGCAGAAATGCATATAAACCAAATGTGAATTTTACATTGTAACTTCTTCTGCCCAAGTTAACACATATGACAACTGCCAGCTACAAGCCTTCCGCAATCGATGGAACATATTACTTATTATACTGTAACTTTACTGTACCAGTGTAAGATGGATAGCCATGGTTATAAACAGTTGGTTTGCTCTTAGTCAACACACAGTGCTCAGACAGTGTTGGAGTCCTCCCAAGATTAACTAGCCTTCCTCTCTGACCAGCTGAAAATCCTCCACCCTAAATCTCACTGCAGAAGTGTGTGCCAGTAGCTCTGAGGAAGGGCAGAGATGGCAGGCTAAGGCTAAAGACATAAGGATATTGAGGGCCAAGGCAGCCTCCTTCAGTCTTCCTGTTATGGATGGAGAACAATAGGGAGAGCTACATTGTGCATTCTGTATTAAGCAAAAGCAGCAACAAAACCCTCAAAATAGTGTGAAAACCCTTCCATGTCACTATTAAGGATTGTGGGTGTTGCCTTTGATCTTTAATAGAATCAGTGAATCTTCAAGGCTTCCACCTAGTAAGAAATGAAGAAAACTACTGAATAGTATTCTCGTAAAGATTAAATGGAATGTTCTGTCTTTGTTGTCTCTCACTTTCTGTATCTATTTCTTTCTCAATAGCAAGGTGAACTTCAGGGTAACTAAATTTCTGATACTCACAGATGTTCTAATGCGTCCAGACCAGTGAAGGCTTTTTTAGTAATAGATCGAATCCGGTTTCCCTGGAGTATTCTGGGGAAAAAAGGATAAGGAAGAAAAATTACATTGGAACAGTGAATTTTGATGAGTTAGTTTAGAAGTAGAGCTCTAATTTCTCTTTAAATCATTGGTGAACAATTCTATTTTCTTCAATTAAACAATCTATCTTAAGTGTGTCCCTGTTATCTATATTTCACTAATGTGGCTCAATATGGTTTTCAAAGGATTCGCCAGAAAACCCAGCAAAAATAAGTATTCAAGAAGTTACTTTGATGGGCACTTTAACATATTCTCCTTCCAAGTCTTTTTAAAATATGAAGAAACTTTATTTCAAGGAAGAGATTACAGATAAAGCAAAGAATATTGAAAGTTTTCTCCTCTCCTCTTCCTTGGATATCTTCATTGTCAGCTTAAAACATAATCTTGTCACCTGCAAGACTCTTTTATGGCTAAACCTAAGATGCTTCGTCCTGTATTCTTGGAGTCTCCTATGGCATTATCAATGAATGCTGGGTCATTATCAATGGTCTGTAGATAATTTCTGGTGATTAAAGTTCAACCTGATGGCGGGGGAGGGGGGGGGGAGTCAAAGAGTTGAAGTTTGTATGGGCCCTCACTTTTGAATACAACTACCAAAGTCTAAACATTCAAAACTATTTAAAGTTCATATACTCAGGTACTAAAACAAGTGGGAAAAGAAGCTAATTACCATGCATACATCTTGTGACACCAGCACTCACTAGGAAGAGATGAGAAGGTATACAAACAGGATGCCACACCTACTCCTCATCTCTTACAGGTGGAGCCCCATTATGAGACAAATTATACTCACAGCTGTCTCAGTTTATCAAGCCCAGAGAAGGCGCCATTCATGTCTTCGATAGTCCATGAAATCTCATTGTTTTTCAGATCCCTAATAGAGACAAGCATTCTGATCAGAGAGAGTGTTCCAGAGACCTAAGGTCACCACCCAGGTGGCATAACATCTGTAACCAATTCCTCCTAATCCCTGCATCACCTCCACCCCCCTTTCCAAATAATGAACTTCATTTTCCAGGAGATTGCTCTTACTCTGTACTCTTCCCTCAATAACATTGTAAGGATTTGCTCCAAATCAAGACAGTTGACTCTCGGGCTCTGTGAGGTCCTCCTCGATCAAAATGACTAAATTCAGAAGGCTAGAACTTGTTTGGGAAGAAAAAAAATGCATCAAACTCGAAAGCCACGGTTCCAGCCACATAAGCAGGAGTCGCCAAGGCACACGGGCTGTCTTTCAATTCTGTTAACGCTTCCAACAGAAAACGGCACCAATTTCTGACAGGGCAAAAAAAATCAAAAGCCCATTGTGCAATGTTCAATTCACATTTGAGAGAGTTTTCAAAGGTCAATTAATTCAACTCTCTCGGTTTTTGTTTTGATTTGTTTTGTTTTTTCTCACTGGGCAGAGAACAGCTTGTGTATAGACCTCACACAATAAGCATACGTCTTCCCACACTGCTCTTTGTGTATCTTTTTGCTTGGAGTTATTTTTAATTTGTATTTTTTATAGAAGCATGAGTGGATTTAAAGTTATTTATCTCTTTAGAAGTTAGGAACGTCCCAGAAATCCTGAGAAGGGTAACTACAGTCACTCCACAATCTGATCACCAGCCTTTTTAATTCCCGTAAGAAACACATATGGATGAAATGGATCCATCTTAATCAAACTGTTCTGGGAAAGATTAAGACCCTCTTTTTGAGGCTATACACATTTCCTTAACAACAAAGGAAATCTGCTGGGAGAAAAGTGGGCACATTTAGGAACCAATTAGGTTCTGTGGATGGAGAGAAAAACGTGTAACTTACAAAGTCTTTAAACTGGAAAGCCCCCGGAAGGCACAATCAGCAATGTAGTTGACTTTGTTGTTCCCAATGGACAGGGTATTTAGTAAACTTAGACCAAGGAAGCTTGAATCATCTAACCTCGACAAGTGGTTGAAAGTTAGATCTCTGTAAAGGAAAAAAAAAAAAAAGATGTATGAAGAAAAAAAAAGCAGCTTTTATTTTTTTTCCATTCAATACAATGATCTATTTTTCTACAAGACAGGTAATAAATAAAACTGCAATAATCCTTATTTTTAAGTTCTGACTTAACAATAACTCAGGAAAACATTTCCTTTAATCTCAGTAATTTAAGAAAAAGGGAAGGACGAAGGGTAAGCAAAAACACTGTCATTATATTCAAGAACATTATATATAAAAATTGAACTATGTTAACTTGAGTATAGAAAGAGGAAAGGGGGAAAATGAGGGAGAATGACAGAAAGGGTGACACTGATCAAAACTCATTGTATTTGTAACCCAACTTATGGAATCATAACGTCTTTGTACAACTATGTAACATTAAAATAATAATGATGATAATGATGAGAAGAAGAATAATGAGAGCATGATTGCTTTTGACTCTGGGCCAGGGAAACAAAAGCAGCCAAGTTGGCTTCGATTTATCACAGCAGAAATGTGACAAGGTGGCATGTGGGGGGTGGGGAAATCCCAAAACCTGTCACCTTGGAAACATTGTTATGAAAATTTCACACATCAGTGGTAAGGAGCTCATGCTCTGCCATGATCCCTGTTCTCGAACCTGAGGAGAATGAAAAGTGACTCACAGCTCACTGAGTTTCTGGCAGAACTCCCAAGCATCAGGGCTGATCCTGTGAATGGCATTCTGACTCAGATGAAGTTCCTGCAGCATCAGTAAGCCATAAAGCCAGCCTTTGGTAATCTCGGTCAGGTTGTTATGGTCCAGCTGCCTGCATTCAGGGCAAGAATCAAAGGCAAGGAGCGAGTTCATTATCTGGTATTTTCAAAGGGCACAGATGACTGCCACCTAGCCCTTAGTCTATTGTTACTAGAGATTTAGCTTTCCAGTTCTGTTGGAGACATCAGCAAAAGGTACTATAAAGTCTTCCTCATAAATGGATATGCTCATAAATTCCAGATTATCTGAAGGAAAGCTGAAAAGCTGAATATTAAATTATAAATGAGACTGTTCATTATGAGATTTTTGACATGGTGTCTCTCACATAAGAGCTATTGAATGTTCACTGAGCTTTGAATGATCATACAGCCTAAAATAGGAACAGGGTGGCCACCACCCACCATCATTGCTTACTTACAAGATTTCCATGTTGCTCAGCCCCCAAAATGCACCATCCATAAGTCTCGTGACTCCATTTCTTTGCATTTTCAGAGACTTCAGAGCACCAAGACCTTGGAAGGTGAGGCCATCTATGTTTCTAATCTTGTTTCTGTTTAGTTCACTGTGTTGGAGATTACATTGGAACAGTTAATTTGTACAACAAATTCCGGAAATAGTAATAAAACCTATCACTGCTACAATATAGTTCATCCGAGTCAGTGTTAAAAGTTAACATAGAACATTTTAAATTTCACTAAGAAGAACATCTCTTGATTAGCAGAGAGTGGCTCTATGTCTGAAAGGCAGGGTGAATTTTTGGAATAATAAAAGGCTAACATAGTCAGGTGCTGGTAGCTGACACCTATAATTCTAGCTACTCAAAAGGCTGAGCTCTCAGGATTGTGATTTGTTTTCAATTAACCATACACATGCAAAAAAAGCCAAAGTGGAGCTGTGACTCAAATGGTAAAACACCAGCCTTGAACAAGAAAGCTTAGTTTAGTGACAGTGCCTAGCCCCAGTGCTAACACACACACAAAAAGATAAAGAATACTGATACTAGATGACACTTTAATTTCTAAACAGTAGTCCATTCAATACCATAGTACAAATTAATAGCAGCCTACAAATCAGTATTTGGTTTTAAATGACCCAAAATGAGGAAATTAGACATTACACTAATATGTAAGGTATATTCAAGAACAAAGCCATCAAAGGTATCTCTCACCTAGGTGGGTACAAAGCCTGTCACCATCTCCCCTGATTCTTTTCAGGTAGAATGCATTCTTGTAGGCAATAGTTCTCAACCTTGGCTGTACACGGTAACCACTCGGGAAGTTGTAAAAATTACTGAGGCCTGGATCTTACTCCCAGAGGTTTTAATATAATTGGTTTGGGGTGTGGCCTTGAAGCTGTGAGTTTTTTTCAATGCTCCCCAAGTCTCTATAATGTGCAATCAAGGTTGGAAGCCACTCTTGCAGGAACCTGCTCACAGATGGGTGTACCATTATTAACAAGACAGTTCTTTATAGCCACTTAGGCTATGGAAGCCTCCTGGAGTTGTGGGTATTATTGTCATAAACCATAGCTGCTGACAGCCCCCAGGATTTCTGCAGTGCCACAATGGTACCTTTGGAAGAGGGGCTTTCAATGATCATACGATTCACTCTTTTAGTAACAATCTAACGTGTCTTGTCAGCCAGTCGCTGGCATTAAGTGACAGTTGGATTTTTCCAACTCAGATCCTGTAACTCCTGCTCTCAAAGGCAAGGCTGTGGTCACAGGCTACTTCCTCTCTGTCACAGGTTAGGTTTTAGCAGAGATGGGACATGGTATCTAGGAAGCCACTCTGACTTACAGCTGCTGCAGTTGTGGCAGTTTAAACATCTTGGGTGGGATGGTTGACAGCCGGTTCCTATTCAACTTTAACACCAGGAGTGTGTTGGCCAAGTTGTCAAAATAACCAGGTTCCACAGACATGACTCGGTTGCTGTTGATATACCTGTGGAAAGTTTGAAGAGGAGCTGTCTTTCTGCTTTAAGAGACAAGCTAATGTGCATTCAATTTCTGCATTATCAAGATTCTTTGGAGAAGCTAATCATCCATGACCACCTTCAAATATTATTGTTTAGGTCCTGATGGGAAAGTTGTTAATTTTACACATATGGACTAGGAAGACAATCACTGTGCTTGCTACATCTGAAGGACACAAAAGTTTGTTGTGTAGAAGTGGAAGTGTGGCTCAAGTGGTAGCACACCAGCTTTGAGCAAATAGGCAAAGCAAAAACATAAGGCTCTGAGTTGAAGCCGCAGTACTGGTGTGCATGTGCACACTAACATGTGTGTATGTGTGTGTGTGTGGATAAATTTGTTGTGGATACATTTCCACTTTCTGTACTACTGTTAATTAACAAAAACCAGCAACAGTTTAATTTTTATTATATTTCTTCCAGTACTGGGGTTTGAACTTAGAGCCTTCCTTGTACTTGGTTACAAAGTATTCTACCACTGAAGACACAACCCCTGCCCTAACTTTCATTTTTACTTTGGGCAAAAAAAACCCTAATATTTTATAATCTAAAATGTAAGAACAAAATGAAGATTGTGGCTCTTCAGTCCCAGAGCAAATTTCAAATCAATGAGAAAGTTTCATTTTTGGTCCATCAACAATAACATGTTTAAAGTTTTCTTGTTTTCTTTTTTGTTAACATAATATTTTCATTACAGATGAAAATTTTGGCAAAGAAGTGTTCACTTACAGAAACTTGAGTTGCAGGGGTGGAAATGCACCTTTCAGCTCTGAAATATTATTGCTGCTCAGGTCCAAAGTTTCAAGGGACTGAAATAGTTTGAGACGTTCAGGAATTATCTCAGAAATCCTGTTGCCAGCCCTGGAATTAAGGAGACAGTCTAGATAATGACATTCATGATACCACAAATGGAAAAGGGGGGAAAAATCTTTTATTTCTAACTGGGTCTTTAGAATTATGGAACATTTGAGTGATTAAAACAGTACTTTTCTAAGTGAAACAGAAATATCATGGCCACTTCTGATGTATTCATTGGCTCCTAAGTCATGGTATTAGAATATATGAAAAGCAGTTCTACATGAAGTGGAGATAATCTTTAGCAATGACTGCTTGAATGCTAGGCACTTAAAGACTACTGCTTGATTTTTCTTTAGGCTACTTTTCTGAATAGTTGTTCTCATTTTACTAAATGGATAATGAAATGCCCAGCATCCAGTGGGCAAATCAGGAACTGATGAAATAATTTCTTGTTCCTTTCCCCTTGATTTCTAATCTTAAGTCTTCTATTGAAAAGTACCCACATCTTCAGTGTAAAAGATCTGGACATAGTCATCAAAATAGGGCTGAAATAGGTTCAAGAGATCTGTTCTTTTAACATGTTTCAATGCATTGCCAGAGGCTTCTGGAGCAGTAGAAATATCCCAGGGTTTGGGTGGATTATAAAGGTGTCACACTAAGAGCACATCAGTCTAATCCCTGGACACAGATTAGGGTATGTTTGACATTAGCAGTTATCAACAATAGACTACAGCCACTAGCCATGTGTACTTTTTAATTTAAATTATAGTAAATGTTATCTAGGCATTGTGCACACATCTGCAATCTCAGCATTTGAGAGGCAGAGGCAAGAGGATTTCAAGTTTACATCCAACCTGGATTATATGATGAAACCCAGTCTACATGATAGGCAGATGATGTATACCTAGGTAGGTAGCAAGGTAGATTTAGATTTTAGACTATCTGATAGATACATTAGAATTCAGTTCCTTAAGTTGCTCAGTTACAGTAGCAACATTTTAGGAGCTCAATTGCTACACGTACCCAGTAGATAGCACAGTACAGATTCCTATTGCTAATAGCCTTCAAATAGGGGAAAACGAGAATATTTTAAGAGAAAGATCATGTTAAATCTCTTTCGGGGAATGTGAGGTAGTGTGATCTGAACTCAAGACCTTGTACTTGCTAGGCAGGCACTCAATACTTGAGCCATGTCTCTATCGTTTCTTTGCATCCATTATTTTGGAAATAGGGTCTTGCTTTCTGTCCTGGACCTCGATCTTTCTGTTTTACACTTTTCACTGTAACTGAAATGATAGGTATCCACCATCACACAGAGTTCTTTATTAGTTGAGATGGTCACACAAACATTTTATCATTGGGTCTAGCCTGGAACTTTGATCCTCCCTATATCAGTCTCCTGAGTAGCTAGAATTAAAGGCATAAGCCAGTGAGCCTTGCTTCAAAGCAGTTAAAAGGATATCAACACAACAGCTCAAAGGAAAAATGTAGTATTCATTGACCATTGTGTTAGAAAACAGTAGTTAAACTGAGATATTAGCCATCTTAATTGTCATCTTCAATCTGATAGCCCAGTCGTCCAAACTTTGCTTTGCATCGAGTCAGCCATGGCCTCTGATTCTGGCCAGTGTCTCCATGTGGATTCCCCAATGTACTAACTCCTTGATCTAATTGTGAGGTATGGGGGGGGGGGATGATGTGAGAGGGATAATTAGTCAGTTTCTAGGTCTTGGAGATGGATTCAATCCATGTGGAAAGCCATGGGGCTTTAGAATCAGAGAAAAATAACCTGTTAAAGCAGAAAATCTGGGAAGATAATAGTCCTTTTATAAATCTTAGTGAGGTCTTCTCTTCACAAGAAGGAAGAATCTGCATATTCTAAGTGGAACTCTGTAACTTATACAAGTCACACACTGCTGTTTCTAGGTATGGTCTTTTACTTACCAAACAAGATTAGATATATTTCATGATTGTATTTCTCTTGGAAAATATCTCCTCTCTCTCCCCCTCTCCTTCCCTCCTTCCCCCCCTTTCTCCAAAAGCTAGCTAGATTTCTTTTAATTTTTTAATATATATTTTTATTGTAAAGATACTGCACAGAGGGGTTAGAGTTACATGAGTAAGGTAATGAGTACACTTCCTATTGAGCATTGTTACCCCCTCCTTTGTTATCCCCCTACCATCCCTTCCCGCCCACCTCCCAACTCCTCCCTCCCCCGCTCCCAAGTTGTAAAGTTCATTTTCAATATAGTGTCTTGTGCATCTCATTGTTACAATGGGTCAGCCTATATCCTTATTTCAGCATTTTGTGATTTCTATTCCCCTCCCCAATTAGGAAAACGTATATACAAGATGCAGGGCACCGGAATCAAATACAGTAAGAACAGGGGTTATACCATGGGGGAAGAACATACCAAAGAAACAGAAAAAAATCACATAGTACATTAAAAGAAACAGCGACAAAGATAAAACCTCTTGTGTCCCTTGTGGTTCATTTAGCTTAGCATCATCTTATATGGTCAAATGTACATAGCTTTTGACCTTTTCTACTTGTCTAGTAAGATTATCCTAGATATTTACTAATTATTGCAAAAATGGAAACCATGGGACCTATGTTTCTTTGGGCCTGGCTTAGCTCACTTAATATAATTTTTTTCCAAGTCTTTCCTTTCCTAACAAATGGGGCGGTGTCATTCTTTATGACGAGGCATAGAATTCCATGTGTATATATATATATATATATATATATATATATATATATATATACACACATATATATATACATCACATTGATATATAATCACATGTTTACTAAGTCCTTTTTTAAATATTTTATTTATTTATCATAAAGGTGATGTACAGAGAGATTACTGTTAGATAATTCAGGTAAAGAGTACATTTCTTTTTGGACAATGTCACCCTTTCCTCGCTCTCTCCCAGTTTTTTCCCTCCCATCCCCACCTACAAGTTGGTCGTATAGTTCATTGTCACACAGTGTGTAGTGAATACCACTGCTGCATTTGTTCGTCCTTTGTCCCTCCATTTCTGTGCCCCCTGCCCCTCCCAAAGATAGGTAAATGAACAAACAAGACTGAAAGAAAAGAAAACAAAACAAAAAAAATAAAACAAAGAAGAAACCTCTTGTTGCCATTTCCTGGAGTTCATTTCAATAAGTACTATTTTATATGATCAGATGCACATAGGCATCACACCTTAAGTGATCCTCTCCTTTTGGTCTCACTGGAAGTCACCCATCTCCCCCCAACTCAAAAGGTTCCTGAGTCAGGTGTTCCGGGGCTTTCTCACATAGCATGGGCACTGCCAGTCTTCTGGCACAATGCACACATCGTCAATGCAGGGGTAGAGTTTTATCTCTGTGTTGGAATGGGTATGTAATCTAATATTGAATATAAATTAGGTACCCCCCAGCCATGTGCTAAACACTTTTTATATATTATGCCAAAATAATTTCTCTAGATTAGGTGTGATTGATAAATTAAAAATCAGGCATCCAAAGTTTTTCATTTGCTTTTGCATCACCTCCCGGAGTAAGACCAGGTTGATTCCAAAATGCAATCCCTGAAGGTTTATGGCATATAAAATAAAAAATCAACAGTATTTTGGCAACTATGTTCTTAACAGATATGTACCTCCTGAAAAGTCTGCTACATCTCAGTCAAAAACAGACAAACAAAAAAAACTGAGCTTCTGGTTTCAGAAATGGGAATCCATCACGGCTCAGGAAACCACCATCATGCCAACATTTAAGGAAGAAAGCGGGGTTCCCTCCTACTTTGGGGGGTGAGGAGAAAGATGGGTCTTCAAGGATTTCTGGGTGTTCCTTACCCACCAGAGTTACAAAGCTGATTTCCTGAATACTAGCAAACATCTCGGTGCTGTTTTGTCCATGAGCAAGAAGAGTGGGGTAAGAATGAGGAAGTTCATTCTATATTTCGACAACACTTCTCTAGATTATTATTAAAAACCCACAGTGTATTACTTTTGAGGGATGTAGAGTGATTGTCTTTTGCTGATTTTTGAAATCCCAGTCTGAGTGTCTAACTCCCTTTCGAAAAGTAAGCCTACACAAGGTTGACAAACACAGACAATGTATATCTTAAGAGCCTGACTTTCATAATAATAGAGTTAGCAATGCAGTCTTGTGTATAAGTCCCAAGTTATCAGGGCCCTCGGATTCCATTAAAATTGTGCAGATTTTGTTTAGAGTCAAGTCAGCCATGACCTTTGATGCTGGCCATTGCCCACATATGGATTCGCCAGCGAACCAGCTCCTTGATCTAGCTGTGAGGTTTGCAGGATACAGGGAAGACAATTAGTCAATTTCTAAGTCCTGGAGATGACGAATTCAATCCAAGAGCAAAGCCACAAGGCCTTAGGGTCAGGGTTTTGTGGGTTCAGCAAAACCACGCTTGCAGGGGCAAAATTTTTCTTTTAAATACATAAGCCAATGTTTGCATTACCAGGATATCCTCCCACAAACAGTGGAGAAACCCACAAGTGTCCAAGTGCCTGCCTTCCCAGCCCCTGCCCTGTCCTACCACAGTGCCCTCCAAACTCTCCATCTGGCTTTGCCCCCTGCCCCCGCCTCCCAAGCTGTCTAAGGCAAGCCAGGATGGCTACCTTTATACCGTATTTAACAACAGAAAGAAAACACTCAAGTTATAAAATTATTTTAGTGATAATTGGAGCTAGTTATTTTCTTGGGGGGAGGGGAGGGGGCGGGGGAGAGGAGATGCACAGGTGTCTCCTATCCCTCCTATTGGGCTGCAAGGGACATACCTGACCATCTACTCTGGTTTATACATGCGTTTGTTTATAAGGTAATTATGAACAAGGTATTAAAACTGCCAATTACTCTGTGACGAATAAAATTTTCCTTGCAGTGAAAGTATGCTCCAGCCAAAACCCAGCAATTTCCTGAACTGCACACCTCCTAAATTGCTGTGTGAAAGCATTCACTTATACAGGAGGCACGCACAGTGCAGTCTTTGTCAGCTCTGCCTTCCAGCACAAAAAATCCCTTACACCTATCAGAATAATAG